CAAGAATTTGATCAATTCACTGAATCTGAAATCTCAAAAAGGTGAAAGTTATCAATTATGATTTGGCAATTTCAAAGCTATTAGTGTGACAGCTGGACCATCAAATGAGCAGAAAATAAATCTATTGAAATGCTTGAAATCTGGTGGGTCATGTCGGAAGCTGTCTTGAACCCCAAGGAACAATAAAAAACCAATGAATGAATCTTGGAATATCGTGTAGAAGATCGAAAACGACGATATTATAGCAACATTATAAAAAAATCATGGCAATTCAGTTAAAGAAACAGGATATAGTTCTCTGCAAGATGTCCAAGAAAACACCAAGAAGAAGCTGAATGGATGACAGTAGAAAATGAACGGCACATCACGTACCTTCAAAATACAGGACTACTGTCTGTTATATCATATGCGGGCAAAGTACCGACTGAAATCATGCAGTAGAGGATTCACAATTATAGCGCACTGTAGAAACATCAAACACTAGAGGCTCAGTGGGACTTACAATGTAAGATAATTTATAAACTATCAGATTCTTGAGAACATAACGATTCGACCGACGGATTCTCGCTTATAATTACAGGCTGAGCTCAAATCAGTGAAATGGCATTAGAAGTCATGCGACGAAGAAGAGATGAACTTAAAAGGCTCCTTGCTACGACGAGTAATTTGCTATACATCAACAACCAAAAGTCGAGCCGGACAGCATGCAAAGATAAACGCGTAGATGAGACAGAAGAAGGGTTGAAAACGATGGTGAATTCTCCGTAAAACTAAGTCACCTGTTCTTCATGGTATTGCCATCATTGAAAATTATGCAGGTCTAGTCGTCACCCAGATCAACAAGGATCGCGCAGGCTCTGAAAAAACTGCGATCAGAACCAGCTCATTGCCTTCTGGAAGCCGGGGGCGTAGCAGCACAACAACGGCTGCCAAAAATCGACGAAACGATAACGAAGATATAAATCAGCAACGTAATCGCTACCCGTTCTGACAGTGCGATGCTATTATAGCTTAAAATCTTAATGGAATATATCCTCATTAAAAGGGAAGCAAAAGAACCGAGCTAATGAGACTGCAAGGTACGAAACCGACATTGTTGGACTCACGTCAACGAAGCACAAAGGTTCTGGAATCCTGAACCTCTGCAGGCAGAAGCTATTCAACTCAGGTGTCGATATCACGACGCGAGCTCAGGCCGGCGTTCTACTACAATCCAACCTGGCTGAGAGAATCATTGAATGGAAGCTTGTCAGCATAAGAATAGCAATTCTTCGACTGGGCGTATAAGAGGCTAAAGCGTTGACCTTGTTAAAGTTCTATGCGCCAAATTTGGAGGGAGAATATGAGTCATTCCTTGAGAAAATGACGTGCCGATTAAAGTGTTTTTCATTCTAAAGAGCAATTTCAATTCACATGTCGAAGCAGACACTGAAGGTGAAAATGCGTAATTGGAAGACGGCAGCAGCAACCTCCACAATAACGGCACGAAGTTGCTACGGTTATTGCAAATAACGGACTGTCCCTTTTGAACACCTTCTTAGAGCATCGAATTGTGCATCAGTATACGTGGTACAGGGAAGCTTGTGCACAGAAGCCGATCATCGATTTGATTAATCGTATCGTCTGACTTACGACATTCTGTAATAGACCTTCGCGTTAAGAGAGGCGCAAAAGTGTCAACCGATCATCACCTTGTTGTTGGCAGGCTACGTTGTAAAAAATGGAGTACCATACGAAGATCTGGTGGCAAAAACAATCGGAGAATCAAATGGGGAACATTATCTCTTCGGTAAACACGAGAGCGAAATTTGCAAACAACATCGCAAAACGGTTTGAACAAATCCCAGCGATGACAACTGATGTTGAAACCGAGTGGCAGCTCTTTAAGAGAAGCCTACTCGAGGCTGCCGCCGAATCCAGCGGATATAAACGGGTTGGCCTGCCTCCTGGTCAGAAAAGATCTTTATCGTGGACACGAGAGGTACAACTGGCAGTTAAAGAGAAGAAAGCAGCGTTCAAGAAATGGCTTGGAAACAAACAGCCTTCTACTCGCGATATGTCAAGGCATGCAAGACGTTAGCGAAAGCACTGGCGAAAGCCAAAGCTGATTCCTGGGAGAAGTTCGAATTTCCGCACAGCAAACAAAGTATTCTGGCAGACCATCCGTGGGCTGCGAGATGAAAAGAATGGCAGTCTAAGAGTACTGACGGATAGACCTGGACACCCTCCTACCGAAGATAAGGTTATTCTGCGGCGATGGAGAGAGTAATCTGAAAAACTCCTCATCCCCGAGCAACCGAAGTAAGACTAGCGTGTAGAGCAGCATGAAAAAGAAATTACTATTTCTGTAAATGAATTCAGACAAGCTGTGGAAAGCTTGAGAAGTGGAAAGGCCTCCGTAATTGATGAAATCCGCCTAAAATGATCAAATCATTAGGCGAACAAGGCAGGTGCTGACTTACACATGTCTGTCAAACTGCAATGGCTAAGAGAAAAGCAGCGGCAGAACGGAGGACAGAGGCTGTTGTACTCC